CACTGCTTATAGACTTCATCTATTGAATTTTCCATTAAATGACGATGCTAAAACGTACGAAATTCTAGCCATTTCTAAATAAGGCATAACATCGATATTTAATCTACTGAAGTTTATTACTGTCGCTTTTCCGCGATGTCAAATAGTTCTCTCATTGCGCTTATCTACTTCTTCAGGGACTGTCATCGCATATTTTGACAGTTGTGCGTATCGAGGAGTTAATAATGTTACATTAGTAATGTAATTGTATGTATTTAAGCATTAGATAGCGCGCGCGAAGCGCGCATCTGTGTTGTCTAGCGGTATAAATTACACTTGCACTTGTGCTAATATTACATTCACGATCGTCCACTGTCGAACATCGAATAAGGACAATTGTAAAATATTCAACTCTCCGATCCTAGACAGTTCCTTAATACCTGATGATAGGGATATGCATGCATATTCCGCATGTACATCGCACGTGGATACGATACGTAAGAAAGGAGCCGGGGACATGTCCCGGGAGGCGCATTTACTAGCCGGATAACATTTTACACGGAGCCGAATGGTGAACGTCGAAGCGATACTTTATCGGAAAATCCGTTACGTAAAATAAAAGCACTCCGAGGCACTGCGACGCGTTGCCGTCGACCGCGCCGCAACCCAGAGATCGAAATACGAGGCGGAGGGCATCAGACGCGGCGTTACTCGGCTCGCGTAGAAATGGCGCGCTGATTCGCCAGTAAACCCTAGAAGAGATACTATAAAAAAAGGGGGGGAGAAACGCGAGGAGATCTTATCTCTTGGCTGAGAGTTATTGAAGCTGCGAGAGAGCTCTCTCTCTCTCTCTCTCTCTCTCTCTCTCTTGCGCGCGCGCGCGTGAAACGCGTCACTGGCGCATCTTAATTAAATCTTGACTTTTTTACGTTCATTACGCTCTATAAAACGTGCATCTTTTTTTTACCGCTTGATCGGCTACCGCTATTGATCTAAGTTCGAGTGCTTCGTTCGAGTGCACTTTCGTGTCGGAGTGCTTTGTATTTTCTTCACTATGATAATATTTGTTGAAGTTATGACATATAAGCGATCTATACCTCGGCACGTTTTGCGAACTGCGGAAGATCGGGAACTGCGCCACGAATGAGAGCCGCGGAGAATCACACACGACGGTCGCAGGGCAGGAAAAGCTTTGCGAAAATCCTGATTTATCGCCCCTTCTCGATCACTATCGGTATCACTATCGGTATCCTTGTGGGAGGCACAGACGCTGCATAATGACGTCGGCGAATAATAACGTCACTGCGGGATTCAGTTCACGTCCTCGAAGTTTTATGTATTGCGGTAACGGATGGAGAGGAAAAGCTACGGAGCGGATCCAAAAATCAGGTTACGATCACACACATCCTTTATCCCGAAACATAAATAGAAATAACACGCAAAACGATTATTACTGCGCTTTTACAGTAATACAGCGCATTTAGTTTATAATAATCAATGTGGTTAAATTTCTTCAAAGTTAAATTAAATCTGATATTTCTTGTTTACAATATTTCAATTAATATAATTTTAATTGTTATGCATGAAATACATATAGAATCGGAATTAATGAAATATAAAATTAATTAAACGATTCTCTTCTCGCAAATATATGAAATTAATTTAATAGAAATTATTGTACTAACGCGTGATTGCAAAATAATAAGTTTTTTTTTAATGTCATTATTTGCTAAAAGTTCTTTTTATATATCTTACATTTATCTATAAATGTTTGAAAAAAACTTTAATTTTTTTGTATTAAAAAACTGGATAAAACTTAATTATATTACACAGTTAGTATTATTTCTATGGTTTTATATATAAACTTACGTTAAATATCGAATATATTTCATTTTCATTTATTTAATAATAAATCACATTTTTCAAAATTGATTTTAAACATTTTTAACCATTGTACTCAATGTAAACACAACCAAACGCAGAAAGTAATATATTTGACAAACCAATGGCGAAAGATGGTATCAAAATGCAAATTAAAAATAAAATACGTCAATAATATTCTACAGAACGATTAATATTCTCAACTTTACTATTTCTTTTATCAATTATCTATAATATACCAACTTCTCTATCGAATTTTTCCCTGATTGACTATTTAGTCATACATCTCCGCTGACAAGAAGAAAGAGTGAACAAAATAACAAACTTTGCAAGGAACTTAAAAAAATATATAACTTCTTATAAGTTGCTAAAACTTTCCTTCAGCATATACTCGTATAATAACGTTTTTTTATACCAACGCTGCTGTCTTGTTTAAAAGAAGATTTAGCTTGGCGCATATACGGTACATACGAAGAACCGTAAATATTAATTAAATAATGTTAACTAACGTTGTACATATTCATATAAAAGATCTTGTATAGATAAGATCGAGAATCCATATAATATGAATATCCTCATTTATCTCTCCTGATATTTCCTTTATCGATGAAATAATATTACGAAGAAAAGAATACATTTCATAAATTGACGTTGATAAATTTCAAATTTCAAGGTAGCTCAAGGTAATGAATTGTATTAATACGTAAGAAAAAGAATGTAAATTTATTTCGCTGTCTGGTTTATGGAGTTCGAAAAATGTCAACGCGTTAACATGCGTACAGCTATCACTGAATACGTGATTCCTCGCTTTAATGTAGAAAGTATATACATGAAACAGAATATATTTTGTTTATTAACAGAATATCATAAATTTTATAAATTTATAGTAACAACTTTAAAAAATAAAAAGTAAAATAAGAACTTTATTGTTAAACAATTTATAAATTCATGTTCTTATTTATTTCTTGATGTTCTTTTATCAGAATCTAAATAAATACAACATAATTATAACAGACTTATATATTAAATTGGCACTGATAAAACTTACTTTTAGAAGGCCTCAAAAATATTAATTTAGAACTTATTTTTATATCCAAAACAGGAAACAAAATGTTCGGATAATCGATCTTTTATATATAATCAACCCACTATATGTTTTGATATAGAAAATGTTTATCTTTTATATATAAATTCTACACAAAAGAAATTAATACAAAAGTTTTACAGATTCCCTCATCTCCTATTTCATTTTTCTCAATCTTGCTGAGCTGCTAGTCTAATATTTTTCTTAAAGCAGCTATTTTAATGGTGTGTCGCTGTCTTTCTGCGCCTTATATCATCTAAGGCCTGTTTTTAAAGTGGCGAACGCCGCTTGAAAATATAACTGGGAATGTTATTTTTTAGCGTTAAGACAAAACGTTTGCGTTTCGCCGATATTTCTACATATTTGTGAAATTCAGACTGCTGGTGGTCGAATTAAAGGTCACATATCACGCATGTCAATGCCCAAACTGACGCAGTTCTATTTCTAAAATGATGTCGTATGGATAATTAAACGCTCGATGAGAAAAGGTGTTCGGGTAACAATGGTCCTATTATAAATATTTTGTCTATTATACTAAAACGCAGATCTTAAATCTGGACTATATAAATCTAATGGAAAAGCGAACTTCGGATAACACGTGAAATCAGAGTTTTGCATGAAGATTGTATATTGGAACTAATTCAGAGTCCGCGACTGTTTATGTAAATTAAATCGTTCTAGAACACTCACCGCGACCACGACGATGAGTCTCGTCTCGCTGAGAGTATCTGCTATTAGCTGGATATCCGCTATTGTATTCCGTAAAATTACACTGATTGTACATTCCAATTACGCCGGAGACGGAAAAAGCTCAAGCGTATTTCTAGACGTGCTAGTTATCCTATTATTGGTCCATTATCTCTATTACTAAATAAAAAAGTAAAAAAAAATGTGAATATTATTTCCTACATATATGTTACGTATATATTTATATTTTATAAATATATACATAAGATGCATACTCGTACGCGTGTAATATAGACGATAATTTTATAAGTTATATTAATTATTAATATAACATAATTTAATTTTTTTGTCATAAATCTTGCACAATGGTTTTTATCGCAAACACATCTAAAGATGATATGTGTTTTTAAAACCGCGGATAATATTCTACACGTTTTAAATTAGAATTACTTCGTATAAGTAAGAAGTAAAATTTTAAGAATACTATATTCTCATGATAGCGATAAAAGATTCCTGTAAAGATAGTTGTCTTAACGTTTTCTTTTTTCTGAATTATATAAACATTTTTGCACTTTCAAAACTTTTGTGGTAAAGAAAAGATCCGCCACAAAAAAAATCTACCTACATATAATAACTTTTCAAAATGTATATTTAACTTACAGTAACTATTAGAACAAGAAGTTACTAAGTTGAACGTGAAAGAAAAATGGATATTTTTTATTCGCTCTTTTTTCTTCTAATATAAAATTTCTTCCTTTAACTGCAATGTCTATTTTGTCACTTTTAAGCGTAAGTGTAAGTAATGCAAAAAATGCATTAAAAATAATTAAAAAAATATCTCTATAAAATCTGTCGAGTCTTGTAGATATATCAATTTTTTTTATTTCGAACGGTTATATAATCCCATTAGATCTCTTCACTCGACTTACCAATCCGGTTGGTGTATCGAAATTCAGTGAACTGACCATGTCTTTCCTACCTGAGAATCTGAAACATATATACATGTGTATTACATCCGCCTTACATTCGAGACAACCTACCGCGGATCGGATCGAGGAACTGCATAGGTCAAAGGTTCACTGTGCCCGAAGAAAAAAAACTGTGTTAACTGCTGTACTCAGAAAACGAAGAGCGAAGCGCGTGAAAACGCCTACGGAAATAAGTTTGCACGATTGCCTTGTTTTACGATTACTTCCTAAAAAAGTAGGTATACGTCTTCGTTCTTCGCCGAAAAAAAAAATAAGAACAGTCATTACATGTTCAATGCTAGAAACGTCAAATAGCTAGAATAACGAAGAAAACATTACCTCTTTTTCTTATTTAGATATCTTCTAGGTACTTTGTTCTTGTCGTATCGCGTTTACAGTAGTGTCATTAATTTAAATCAAGATGACACGAACGCGGCACTATTTACACGTAGTAACACATACAAGAATGAATTCGTCAGTAAATGTCCAATTTAGATCGCAATCGATGCAGTCGAACGTTCAATGAAATCGCGTATAGCTCGCGGATGAGATCAAGGTGACGAGGGAAGATTATTGCAGTGAAGCGAGCGAGATAGCGACGCACTAATTTTCCATCGATCAGTCGAGTTTACGCAGTGCGAATGAGTTGTTGCGTTGCGTGCGCGTAGTATAACGTGTAATTCCGCAGAAACTCCATCGGCACAAAGCCGTCGTCGCGTTCGTTTATTTTTTGCAAAATTACGCGAGTCATCTCTCTTACTTAGAGTTTGTATTAAAATGTTCATATTAAACTGAAAGCTTATATTAAAAGTGACAAATAGTTAAAAGCAAAAGAAAGATGAAATAGAAGAAAATGCGTCACTTTCAAGAATATTATTGTGCACGCCGGATCAAATAATTTTTTTTTTTAATGATTCTTGACGACGTGAACAAGAAGAATCATATAAGAAGCGATTAACTAGATAAACAACTAATTAAAAATGTCGGGAGATTATCGTCAAGTGCATCTTTCAGGAAATCTGCAAAATGTAAATAATAAAAACTAATGTTTTATTAATCAACGGAACTATGTGTCGAGTGAGAAAGCCTTTATTATGAAACGTATGTAAAGCAAACTTATTTTACGTAACAATTTTTTTTAAGAAAAATTTGTGAATCTCTCGAAAAAATTGTTAATACCTACTATCTAGTAAATGTGGTGATAATTGCTGTTCATTGAAAAAAACTCGACTGCAACATATTTGCATTCAGGTTCTACGTATACGTTTGATACTATTTGCAATAACATCTGCAAAAGTAAAGCTATGTTATTAATTTAAAAAAAAACTAATGCGTTTTTAACTGTTTTTAACTGATTTTTATCTTTTAGGAGTAAATCGCTGACACATGTTCATAGATAAAAATATATTAAGTAAAGATAAGCAAACACACGCGTAATAATTTTTTTTACGGGATTTGTTAAAAAATACAGTCATGTCGATGAAAAAGATGTTATGAGTGAATTAATTAACGAATCGTTTAGTTTTAGGTTTCTCATAAACGACGCTGTGACAGACGCGAGAATATTCAAGGTCTGGTTTTTTTATCGAAACCAGTTCACGTTGTTGTAAAAAAGAATTCATACATAATCTAAGATCGCGCAATTAAATTATTGTAAATTAGATCGCTTGTCGACAAGATGACAAAATGAAAACGTTGACTTATTCTCAACCAAACTGTAGTTAGTCTAATTTAATTTTATCTAATTAATACAATTCACTTACAGAATTATTAATTTTTAATAAAATTATTTCTAGAAATATTAATTTATAAAAATTAATAATTAAATAAATATTTAAAAAATTCTTATTTGTTTAATTAAATTAACTTTTACTTTCTTATGGACATTAAAAAATTATATGAAAAATTAAGAAAAAATTATTTTAATCAATTAATTAAACGCGAAATAATTAATAAATCGACGATCAAAGTATAAAATTATGCAGTCATTCTGTCGAGACAAAGAACTGATGTATTATTGTTATATACAATGCTGAAGAAAAATAATTTTAAAAAATAATTTTTAAAAATTGATTAAAAATATGATTCAATTTAATAAAGTAATTTAATAAATTAAATTAAAATCGTTGTCCATAAACCGTTTGTCCATAATGTTAGTAAAAGAGACATGGAAATTTGTTCCAAAATAAACAGAATAAAAAATCTCCAATTAACCAATTCTCATTGCGACTGACAGGTAATTCTTCGAATATCCCAAAACTTGGACTATCCAAACGTCAAATATAACAAGCGACCCAAATACGAAATTCTTCACATCTTTTGCAGGAATATTTGAGTTAGTGCATCTTTTGTCGTGCAATACCCTTCCGAAATGTCCTTCAGACGCCTTCCTCTAATTATTTGGGTTGATTGAGTCTCCATTAGATCACCAATGTTTCTATCCTTCGCGCGGGACAGAAATTGACTCATTCCCCACGTCGCCTGGGTGTATAAATATAAAGCGATCGATCGCACGAGAATTGAACGAACGGGAGAACTCTTCCCAAAAAGAGAGGCGAGAACCGGAGAGACCCTGAGATCATCCTTCCCACTTGGAATGCCCCCACATGGAACGTGCATCTCACCTCTTAAGATGATCGTGCGATTCCGTTGGAGAACGGAGGCACGTGTTCGACCGTCGACATCGTATCTCCGATGAACCGGAAGCATCGTCCGGGGAAACGAGGTGCGGCCGACGCCGATGCCGAGAACGATGAAGCCATCGACGATCAGCAGCAGCAGCAGCAGCAATTCGTCGAGCGTCACCCGCGGTCTCTCCCTTGTTTTCCCGAGGATCCCCTGCGAGAATCTTACCGATTTCATCGGCCGCGATGTGCTTGTTGAACGATCGGCCGTGTATCTGTCGGATATCAAGAACATCACGTGCCTGGACCACGCGCCCAAGCTGACCAGGGAGATATATCTCAAAGTCATCGTGCTGGCAGTTATGTCGGTTCTAAGCCTCGTCGGCAACGTGGCGACGATATACTCGATCAGGAAGAATCGCCGGAGGCAACGTGGCTGCTCGGCGATTTACACCCTGATCCTCCATCTGTCAGTGGCCGATCTGCTGGTCACCGTCTTCTGCCTCGCCGGCGAGGCAATCTGGAGCTACTATGTCGAGTGGCTGTGGGGCAATGCCGCGTGCAAGATCTTCAAGTTCCTACAATTGTTCAGCCTGTACCTAAGTACCTTCGTACTCGTGCTGATCGGTGTCGATCGATTTGTCGCGGTGCGATATCCGATGAAGGGCCTCAATACGTCTCAGAACTGTACGCGATTCGTCCTTCTCAGTTGGCTACTGGCTCTCGTGCTCGCCACTCCGCAAGTAAGATAATTTTGCCTTACGTACTTCCAGCTATGAATCAATAGGGATATGTAAATATATCTATATAATTTTCTCGTTTAGGCATTTAGATATTTAATTTTACGAGTTGCATTCCTTGCATTTATACATCGTGAAAGCCTTTTAATGATTTATGATTTACTTTATACATATAAGCTATCACGTATTCAAAATTTATATACTTTTGGAAAGGTTACACTTACATTTTGATATCTTCATATTTTCTATTTCCATATTTTAATTTTTATTTTATTAAATACGTATCTGTATTCTTCAATTTTTTAAATAAAAATTTATCATTATAAAATGGCATACAAAACTCTGTCAGACGTTTTCCGAACAGAGATAATTACATGTAATATTATTGCAACAAGGTAGTTATATTAGATATTTTACATGGGTTCTAGTTGAGTACTTTTCAAAATCTATATAACATATATTTTATATCGTTCCAATGATCACTTTTTGCACAAATTCTTTATCGATTATCACAACAAAAACACATTCTAAAAATGTGGATATTGTATAATATCGAGAACCAGAATACACGTGGTTCAAATCTTTTGCTCTCCTGATTTATAAAATTATACTAATGTATGTATATTATGCATATGAAGCATACTTGATTATCTCAGATCCACGTGTAAAATAAAGAAACGATTTGTATTTAAAATTTACAATTACTTCGTACATTATTAATCTGGCATTACAAAACACGTTGTAAAAAGGCAATAATCAATCACTAAAATGTCATGCGTGTTAATTTTTTTGGTCAGCTTTTTACCTGGCTTATAACAGAAAATTATATCGCCGACTCGGACGAATGGTTCGCACTTGAATATTAAAGAACGGTTGTCATGTCGTCAAGAATCGATCGCTAGGAAAATGTGCATTGATAAATCAGTTTGACGCAGAAATGTACAGTTAAAGATACTATTTAGAAAATTCCATTAGGTGCCTACTATTTTATTCTATTTAACGCTACTTTAGATCGACAAAAGAGTTATTAAAGTTAAATGGCATTAGTGATGATTTAATGTAAATTATGATTGTAAAAATATTAAAGAATACAGAGAACCGGTTAAATACCAAAGATCACATAAATTTAACAACCAACAAACAAGTTTTTACTTGGAATTATGACTCAAAGAACAAAGGATTAAATATATATTCTTTACTTCACTTTTAGAAAGAAAAATTTGGAAAAAAGTTAATCTAACACGACGACATATTTTGAACAATCTTTGATAGTTCGTATAATTATAAGATACAAAAATCGCCTTCAAATAAAATGCAAATACGTAAAAATTTTTTAATATTTTTCAAGATGTCCAAGATAAATTTCAATTAGTCTGTCTCAATTAAAAGTAAGATCAACGTAATTTGATAAGTATATATATGATGTTTATCACAATATTTGTTATAATTGAAGGATATTTCTATAATAATGCATGGAAACTAGTTGAGAGAACACAACTCTCCTTATTTCCTATATTAATAATCAACTGCGATGTAATCGTATCAGCAAAAAAAAGGCCGTATCGGAATATGGCGGCTATACCTTTTTTATCGTTAATAATTGCAAAGTCACAAACGTCTATTAATATCACGCGATATTACGATTAATTATTATAATAGACGTAGCTTATTTTAATCAATAAGTGAGAGTCTTTGTGGGAAAATTTCTTAGTTGTAATTGCATTAAGAAGGCACAAACTGTACTATATGTAAAACGCTGCGTAAAGTATTTAAATTTCCATTGTAAGTTTCCCAACAAACGGAAATAGCAGGAAGATTTTTCAACGAGAGAAGTAACAAATCAGAAAATATTCTGATTTGTACCGAACTTTAAGGGAAGGGAGCGCAAAGGGCGCATTAATAAATAAGAGAACGATACAATTTATAACATACATCCCTTGTCACGTCGTGAAAAAATAGAGAATACAGTAAGCATTATGCGACACATATTCTGTTTCACGTCTTTTGCGTCATTAGTATGCAAAACACAGTCTTGTACTTCCCTCAAGGTATATATACATGGTGTTTCAGAATTAATATTTCGCGAAATATCACTCATTGCCGTAGGAAACTATTTCATATAAACGTATTTTGTGAACTTATTTCAATTTCATCTTTAATCAACACTTTGTAACTTTGCAACACGTGTTCGTGGAAACTTTTCAGCTTCCGCCACTCTTTCATATTGACCGTTCTTTCTAGAAGTTCTTGTTTATATAAGAAGAATGCGTTTTCTACTTAACGACCCCTGACAATTAAATGACGTAGCATTCGCGAAAATCCTTGATGATTTAATAGTGCATTTAAAATATACATTTATACTTCTTAATTTCTTTATTTTCAATGTAATAACTTCAGGACTAAACGTATCAAGTTAAGTAATTTTTTTTATACGTTAAAAGATTTTTAGTTTTATTTTTAATAAAAAATATTTTATATGGAGCAAAAATGTAGCGGTAAAAACTACAGATATAAAAAGCATGCATTTCTTGCTTAGTGATCAATTAAATGATACAGCGCCTGCAAATATCTCTGATAATTCACTATATACATTTTAATTACGATTTTCTTTGAACTTGTTTTTTATGCATTTTATGCAACTTTCATATCTACATAGATATATGAAATATAGCTAGAAAAAATGCACTTTCTGCTTAACAATCATGGGAATTAGATATTAGCAAGATTCTCTGATAATCTGTGTGTGTGTGTGTGTGTGTAAATTTTGAGATATTATCTTTTTTCAAATTCTTTGCTCTCATCTCTGCTTTAAAACAATAGCTTTTATATAAAACAAATTATATTACAAAATTGTTTTTGATATAAAAAAATGTTATTTCGTATAATATTTTGATATATATTTATGTAGTAGACGTAAAAATATACAGCAACATATAAAACACAGATAGTTACAGAAACAACATTCATCTACAAATCAAATTCTTTTTTCAATATATGTATGTATACGTATGTATGTATCCAAAACTGTTAGGACACATGGAAACACTTATAGAAAAGATTCAAATGGAAATAGAAATAAAATTTTCTTTCCAAAACAATTTGAGTTTTTAGAAAATTAAAATATCGTACTCATATTAGAAAATTTTGGGAATCCTAAAGGGACGGCATCACTGAAATATCTTCATTCGATTAACATGATAACGGTATGCTGCTATCCCATTGTTCGGAAGACACGTTTGAGTGATTGCTTCGATCGATACCACCAATCACGCTGGCTCCTGTTGTAATCTGGTCCGATCTAGTCGACTTGTCCGTCAATTTGTCGGTATCTAGAGTAGGTTCGAGCCTAGGCCTCGTCGTCCCGTCATGAACACGTCTACCGAAGTCTCCGCATCTGCATCTTTTCCCTGCTCCCCTCCCGCAGGACCTTGACCTGCATCTCCGTGATCTTCGTCGCGCGCTTTTCCTACTGCACCTGCAGGCGGCCCTTCGACTATGCCTAGCATCTCCGTTACGTCGTACCCTGCCGCCCCGCGATCGATGAACTTTTCGCTGACAGTACGAATCTAGCATGCCGATCTCCTGAACGGCCACCTCCTGCCGCGCGATCTCGTTGTCGGTCGGCAGACTGTAGTGATCATCGGTCTTCTTCAGAATGCCACAAGCAACTCCGCGCTTTAAAGCATTCTGTACCTGCGAAATCGGCAATGTGTATATAAATCTTTTTAACACTTTTTATTATTTTAGACAGTCAAGAGACAGTTATTTATTAAGAGACAGTCTCTTATATAAATAATTTTTACAAAACTATTTGCAGGAATTTTTTTATAAGTTAATGGAATTTAGATTCTTTAAGAAAAAACTTTAAAAAACTTGATATTTTGCTCGCTGTAAATGTCATCTTTTTTTATTCATCACGTGTTAAATAAAATTTTGATTACATATGAAAATTATGAAAACTGAATAAAACAGAGAAAAAGAAAAGAAAGAATGATAAACAGCGCTTGACAGATACATAATGTCTTTACTAAAAAACGGCAAGAACGATCCGTCTTCTTGCTCTATTGGTATATGGAATTAAAAATCGTAAATAATGTTAAATTATGTATAATTTAAATAACGACTTAGAACAAGTTCATGAACCGTAAGATAATAATGATGAGCGATTGCGGGAATGTCGCATAGCTAGGTCGCGATAAAGTACATAGTTGCGATCGGGTTTAAAAGGCGACAAACCGGGTTTAAAAAAGCACGCAATAAATTTTCTTTTTAATTAACTGACTAATAAATCACTATAGGATTAAATCATCGGCAAAATATGCTTTCGCCGGAAAATTTTCGGCGAATGCAATTTAAATTTCGTAGTTTCTAAACGACTGACGCAAAAATAGTGATTGCGACGAAAAAATTCCAAAAGTTAACTCGTCAATCGACGTCACAGTGAATAATGACACGCGGAGAAAAAACTTATTCATTTTAATATATACTACTAGAAAAAATTACGCGCTATATGTCGTTTGCGATGTCGTAATGCAAACCGCGCGGAATAGTTAAGAATTTTTTAACAAACACTTATTATAGATACGTGAGCGTCTTCCAGGATTTCGCTACTGACTCGCCTCGTGTCGTTTAATATTTAAGTTGTTGAACGAAACAATTATATATCATAAAGGAAAAATAATTATAAATACAAATAATTTATATATATATATAACTAATTAATTTTATATTTGTTATTAATTGTGAATTTAGTTTTGAAGACCATATCGTTTCATTCAACAATTACGTTGCGAGAACATGAAATAGTAGATATCGTTAATATAAACCTGACATCGTGCCACGGCAGCCGGGATTTTGTGAACAGATGAGATGTAGTGAAGAATTTCTCGTGATGTAGATCCTTTGAGCTCGCGAAGGTTTTTGATCGCAGAGATCATTAAACTGAGGATCTCCATACGCACCATGATGATCGCGATGAGACTACTGAATTAACAAAGTCAACAAAGTTTCTTGTACCTCATTAATTTAATGACCCATAGATAATTTGCAATCGATTTGCTCTACGTTCTGAGCTTTCGTAAAGGAAGCCGTATATCGAGAACTCAATAGAGTTTAGTTCAACGGAGTCATTGCACGTATGTCTCCAGCAAAGAAGATAAGAAAAACGAGATAGGCAGTAAAGATCAGTACGCGTATTTCACAAGTATTAGCATAAGTACCTGTAAAATAAGCAATGACACAGGTGCTGTATCAGACGCGAGGTAGACGTTAAGCTATATCTTCTGCTCTCCGAGGGGAAAACCGATTCTAGATAAGTCCAAGATTTAATGAGGTGTCAGGTGCATCGGCCGAACGGCGGATGCGTAAAGTCTTCGAGATCGATCCGTGCCTTCTCTCGTCGAGGTGCGTTAGAATCGGAGAGAACGTGAATCGCGAGCCATCGCACGGTCAAGGAACAATGCTGTCGTCGCGACGGAAAGAAGGAGATGCGGTGTCCGTGTGGCGGAGATTGATGACAAACGCGTATCTCTTGACAAGCCGAGAGACAAACGGCCACGTTTTAATTAATGCGCCTCTCCGGTTCTACGGGATTCTTTTTCACGTGAACGTTCACGGTAACCTTCGTTCCATCTCCCGCTACAGCGTCCCGGCCTTATCGAGGAAACACGGCGAATTTGGAAGTCAGCTGATCCGTCAAACGCGGTCGCCTCTTCGGGTCAAGAGGTTGGATCGATGAGCGTTTTTACAAATGAACGTCAAAAGTGATATTGGCTCTGTGTTCCGTTTACATATACCTTCCGTCAGCATATTATATACATTTTCCGATAACAATAAAATAATATTTGTTACGCAACTAAAAAGAATACCTATTTGTTGACATATGATGAACGTGCAGAGAGTGTTCTGCAAAGCTAATATATAAAGTATATATGTAAAGCTTTCAGCTAGGACATGGTCTGATTTAGAACAAATATTTAGATAAAACTATCAAATGAAATAAAAATATATAAATCAAACTATATAAACTATATAAATAATTACATATAAATATGTAATTATATTATATAAATATATAATTATACATATTTAATACAAGTATATGAATATTTTGAATAAGTTATTACAGTTAAAATCTCCTTAAATTTTGAGTTTAATCTGAAACTTATCTTAATAAAAATAATTAACTGCAGAAAACATGCGTGTTGCCAAGCAGTTCACATTTTTATTTTAATCTTCCATTAAGTTGAGATAAAAAATATATTAACACCTTATAAATATCTTTTTTGCAGGACATCTCTACTAGCTAATTTATTTACGTCTCATATTTACACGCAAATCTTTGAGCCTTTCGACTCTCCACAAATTCTGTATTCTCTTTCGAATCCGCGACATCTAATCAACATACTCCATCATTATTTTACCCATATGCTTCGCTAGTATTGATGTCAGCATATTTATATACCGATTTATTTTAATATTTTAACAGATCGCGATATTTCATGTTGCGCAAGGGCCATTCGTCGAGGAATTTACACAATGCGTGACACACGGTTTTTACACCGAGCCTTGGCAGGAACAGCTCTACGCAAGTTTCAGCCTATTCTTTATGTTCCTCCTGCCATTAGCAATTTTAATCACCACATACGTATCCACAGTGATTACTATCTCTCGTAAGTACTTTTCCGTTATACAAAATTGCACTTGCAACGAAACACGCGCAATTCGTCATTGTAACTTTTCAATAATCTTATACATATACTCGATATATACAATCTTTTATATTTTTAATTTTTTTTAATTTTTGTATATTCTTTCATGATAATAATAGTCAATAATTTATTTTAGTAACTAAATAGTTGATTGAAATATGAAACTTGAATTTTTTCCAGAATGTGTGTTTGTTACAAAATATGTATTTAATACTTTAAATTTTTGTCAGCATAAAATCTTACGAGTTTGTAAAAAATATCTCAATAGAAAAAAAATGTAAAAATGCCCAATTTCATTATAATTATTACAATAAACTAAATTAAATTTATCTGACTAAACTAAATCGTATATATATATATATATACATCTAACGAAATATATCTTGTTCTAGGAAGTCAGAGAAATTTCAAAATGGAACCAATGAAGACGTTCAGAAGTAGCGACTTAAATAGGAGAAGACTGATAAATCGAGCGAAAACGAAGTCACTGCGCATTAGCGTCGTCATCGTGGCGGCATTTCTAATTTGGTGGACGCCGTATCACACGATGATGATAATTCTTCTGTTCATCAATCCGGATGAACATGTTAGTGTATTAGTTGATCGGGACAACAGAGGGATTTGTATAGATTAGGCTACATTGAAAAGTCAACGTCTCATATGCTAACAAACGGAATGCTTTTCAGCTCAGCCAGGAGCTGCAGAGCGGAATATTTTTCTTCGGTATGAGCAACAGCCTGGTAAATCCCCTGATATATGGCGCGTTTCATCTTTGGCCGCAGAGACAACGGCAGGGCTCTTATCATAGGTGAATAGAATTTACGAGACCGTTCGATGTGCCGTATCACGCGAAATCCCTTTCCCGCCGTTTTGATCCGCATGTAACTTGCAGCACGCGAGTTACGTAACTACGAGACACGTACACGTTTCCACAGCGCGATGAGGTTTTTGTACGATTTAAACGCCGTATTCGCAATGAGCAAAATGTTCCGATCGAAGAAAATAAAATAAAATAAAAACGCGATGAGCTTGACATTTAATATTTAATTGGTTGCTAGTTATCAATATTTTCAAATTGCAGTTGCAGGTCTGACGCTTCGATGAATCAACGGAACAATTCGAGGAGACGCGAAACAAAAACACCGCTTCTCTCTTATCAGAACAGTAGCAGTAAAGTGATTACAGTCGCACAATAGCAAATAAAATAATTTTTTATTAAATTAGATTATATCTTACGTAAAAGAGACGAACATACGTTGTGTAACGATGAGAAATAATGGCGTAATATAAAAAAAACAGACAAAAAATAAAAAGATAAGAGAAAAAGCGTTACAGCTTCTTTATATCGTTCTTAGTTAAGGATTTTTACAAATGAAAATTATTCTTTTTATTTATTTAAAAAAGAGAAGATCTTAGTATCGAATAGGTATAAGTTTATAGCTATAAGTTTATAAAAATTTGAATTGTTCATTTTTTTAATTAAAAAAATATGTTCTTGTACGTATGTTTGTTCATTTATATCTAATTTAGGCGCAAGAATATAATTGCATTTGTAATATGTATACTTTAAAATAGAAATTTAGTAAATATGATTATTTAATTATAATATTAATATTATAAATAAAACTTTAATTTTAATTTTTCTGTGTAGTATAATTATTCTAATTTATTAATAAATGACTCTTAAAATATTGTAAGTCTATAGTGCGAAGTTATAGGAAAAAAGAGAACTGAATATTAAAATACATAACACATATATAATAATACTGTCTACAAAAAATCTTAAAGGAATTTTACAGAAACGCTAATAAAAAGAAAGAAATATATATATATATATATATATATATATATATATATATATACATACATATTTCAAAATAAATTATATGTGATATATTATTTTGACAAAATTAAACTTTTATTTTACCCAGACAATTTCGAGCAATGCAATATCTTTTTACTTATGAAACATCTCAAAATTTTATAATTATGTAATGCTATTTCTTACTTAATTATACTTTCGTCGATCTCTTGTCAATTTCTAAATTTTTGAAGTTTACAAAAAATCAGCAAGAAATTTCTTAATATTAATTAATTGGCGTCACCTCTCTTAAGTATTGGACTGTGAGTTCCCGAACATAACAATTTATCAATATTTGATAATTTAAACTTCTACAGTTGCAAAGCTTACGATCGGTACTGTCGTTGCTGTCGGCAATTATTGAATGCACCGACGAGATCATCAATCTGGACAAATTTTCATGACCATCAAAGGGCCAGAAGGATAATTGCAATTATCGGAGGTGTAATTGCAGAATGTTGATATTATCAACTATTGACATAAATTTACGATTATTAAATATTTAAATAATACATTATTAAAATTATGATTTTTTAATATATAATTAGTGCTTTATAAATAAATACGAATACTTATAATGCTATAATATCATATATATAATTGCTGCAAAATTACAATTTTTTTCTACTGTTACCATCTCTGTGGATAATCAAATACGGATGGTAAATATAAAAATGCAGTTTTAAATAAATTAATTGTAATAACTATTAGCAATTAGTTGTAAATATATATGTACATATCTAAGAAACATTGATCTAATAATAGAATCGGTCTTTAATAGTATCTAATTGTTGGTGGTTGTACCAATTTCAAAAATGAATATGTAATGACGCTATTATGTATGGCAGAATTTTGAATATTCTGACGATTCCACGTAAAAGGCCGGGATGCTCTCATTAGAGAGAAAAACCTGAGAGGCAAATTGATAAAATTCTATCTGAGACAGAATTTTATTCTCTGCAATGATAGAACATAAGATAGGACAAAAAATCTCTCTCTTTCTCTCTCTCTTTCTCTGTACCTTAATATCTTTATGCACATAATAATGAAATAAATCAATTAGTATTAAAAAAAAACATGTAACTGTAAAAGAGGATTAAATTTAAATAAATTTAATTGCAAGCGCGATATGCAATTTTATACATATATTAATAAATTTGTGATTCCACGCACATTTTTAAACGCCAGAACTTTTTAAATACATACTGATAAAGCTTAAAGTACGTCAGATAAAAGTCAGCTGATTGAAGTGATTATCATTATAGTATTATTCTTTTCTCGCACGTGTCGCTATTAGTTTTATTCATACACAATACACATGTCTTCATCAAAACGTTTAATGTTGTTAGTTGTTAGATCATATCAGAATACATCGTCGTGCATTACACAGACGCGCGCACGCACGTACACGCACACACATTTCGATCATTTTTTTTCTTTAATTTATTATAGACGCAATATGGGTTAAAACTTAAATACCATTTTAATTATACATGGCGTTATTTCTTGTAAAAAACTGAGTCGAAAAGTCCTATATCATTTTTTTTCTCTGATGCTTAATATAAAACGATCAGTATTGCAGTAATTACTGCTTCATAAAGGATTGTAGAGCAAAAAATGGTTCAGAACTTTTTGATTCAATTCTTTATAAAAATTTAAGTAGCGCTATTAGTGAGTGCTATGTAAAAACTTCTTTGTCTACAGTGCTTAATGAATGCTTAATGAAGCAATAATTATTGCAGCAGTTATCGCTTAATTATTTAACACTGTAGAAAAAAATGGTTCAGGACTTTTCGACTCAGTTTTTTACAAGGAATAACGCTATGTAATTAATAGATAGTATTTAAGTTACAGTCTGTATATAAGCTTTAAGAAAAAAATAATTTTTCAAAAATACAAATGCTTTAAAGTACAATCCGTAATGAAATTATGCGATTACGAAAGTAACAAAATTGTTCAAAAGCAGCATTCTTGCTAACTTTCATCATCAAGTGTTTAAGACATCTGAAAGTGATTACGTGCCTTTGCGAGCACGCGCTGTCAAATAAACGTCCTCGCAAGTGAAAATTATCTGTCCTCACAGATAATTTTCACTGCATAAGAATATGCAGTGTTTCAACATCGTGCAAAGCATTTCATCGTATACGCTCGTATCAATTGATGCCCACGCAGCAATGAGGTAAGACCGTTTATTACACGCACGAGATTATTGCATGACCATATTAATGATAGATCCGCAGAAAGACCCACGTTAAGTCTGTTGCAATTAACAAATAATCTACTATATGTGCTGTGCACATATTTCACTTAATCCTCAAACAGACATTTCTTATGCATTTTTTTCTTTTAAATGTTTTACGTTGCAGTACTATTGCTATGGAAAAAAAAAGCATATACATATTCCAATGCATTTCTTTCCGTTATTTATTCTCTTCACTTTTTCCTCAAATTTTCATAGTAAATATCTCGTGAAAATGATTTCTATCGTCGTTGGTATCATTCGATAATAATACGATTAAATGTACGTGCTGTAGGCGAATAAAAACGCATCAGATACGATTGCACGAATGTGTCTTTGACACGTACGATTGGATAAAGACATTATTATAAAGCGCGACAAGAGTCGTAGTTCGAATTTTATACAGGTTGAAACGGTCAATTGTAAATGAGGATGCATCTACATCGATCCGGAGCGTGTGAGATCGCGCTTATTCTGACGATATTGGCAGTTACATATGAGATCTCGTGGGCCAGTAAACAATGCAAGACCGTTGTAATGGACGTGCACGTGAAGAAGTGTAGACTCGGTGCTGAGAGAATCAAGAGAGGCCTGGAAAGATTAGATCTGCAGAAACATGATGAAAAGTATGAAACGAAGAGGCAGGAAGGACCGGGTAAGCGAATAAGATTTTAACATATACAGCTCAGCCTCTTGGCCATAAATATAAAGCACGAATTGGTGTAAATATTTTATATCTAACGAAAAGTAAAAAATTAAAAGCAGTTTTATTTAAAAAATAATATTTATTTTTATAATAATTTTAATATTTCGTTAATTCTCTTTTGCCGTTTCTAAGAAAATACAATAAATTTAGAATGTTTATATATACTTATGACAAAGGCTGTATCATTTATAAACTGCAAACTTTGTACGCTTTGTAGCGTAAAAAAAGTTGTTAATAAAGTATTACGTAGAAAGAGATATTTATTAAAACAAATACGATAGTAAGATGTTTCTCATTGCTCAGACTCTAGATTAGATGGATTTACAGCTATTTTGCGAGTGGATAGTAGAGCTGATTATTGAAATTATGTTATTATCAAGAATCCACAAATTACATCACTTAATAAAACACTGTTAAAGAGATTATAACGATGTCAAATGCAGCATGTCGCGACACTCCCGACCCGCGACCTTATAATGCTTCGTGACCTCGCGCGATAGAAATCTCGGAGACGCCGGCGTCTCAATCGTATCCCGGTGTTTGTTAGCGCCTGATATCCCGCTTTTCTCTTCAGACTATTCAAAGATGAAAGATTCGCACGGCGTTCCGCAAAAGAGGCAGCTGACACCCGCTCAAATCGGCGGTATCGCCATGCCGATTGTCACGCAAGCTATAGACGGCGCCGCCAAAGCCCGAGCGTACGCCACATCCGGGGCGGAATATCAAGACCCGAGCCCGAGCCTGACAGGACTTCCTTTCGGTTGGTGGCCAGGATATTATCTCAGGGCGCCTTATCCGTTCGACCAGGGTCTCGCATCCTTCCGCGCTTCGGTAAGCCAATCATCGCCTCTGGAATCCGTTCTGTCATTCGGTAAACGAAATCTAGTAGATCCATCGAGATCAATGTTGCAATTCATCAAGCCGCTGTACAGCTACGGACTAAAGCGCTTCACGTTCATGTGATTCACCCCCGCTGTAAATCCTTTTTGTTTGTACGTAAAAAAGAACTCTGTGATGTAACGAGGCGATAATAAACATCGATAGCACAATGAACAGCGTACAATGAAAATCTGTTCTAACGCGTCGTTCCGCGTGCTACCTGTGTGTGATTAACATGCGTGCGTATGCAATTTGCGACTGCGCTGTATGCAAATTCCTTCGACGACATAGCGTCTCGACTTCTTCTCGACTGACTCACAATAAAACAAGATAAACTAAATCAAAACACGCGCTCTAATCAGCTGAATAATTTTTAACAATATCGCGTAACGTAACTAACATAATGACACATTTTTATCCCTCGATTTATGTTGTACTTTTTATACTTGGAATTTTTTTATGAGGTAAATAATCTCCCCATTTTATGTAATTTCTCATTTCTTATTTCATAATTACTTTTTTTTCATTATTATTGTTTTTATGCAAATATAATGTGAAATAAATATATATTTTATAACATACACGCGCGGGCTTCCCTCTTACGTATTTTTTTTTGCACCGGCAAACTCCATTTACTCCATTATCAACCGTGTACAAAAAACCATATGGAATATGAAATGACGAATACTCCGCATTTTACAACCAGATTAATTAAATCAACGTTGATAAATCAACAAATAATCGGTATCGAGTACAGATTGGCTTTTTCGGCCTCATCATAATTGTTTCTATGTTAATTCAGTAATTACGAATATTTTTATAAGATTTTTATTGCCTTCTAGCTATTCTACATAGAATCGACTCAATCGTTGCAAAGTCAGATAGTTCATAGAATACACGCATGTACTGTATATTCGATGTAGAATTAGCCGAAAGATAAAAGGAGACTATATACACATTTATAATTAGTTAATTAACATAAAAACAATTATGATGAGGTCGAATATGATAAAAATATCAGACAGCATTCGGCATTGAACAGTCGCAGCAAATCGACGTCGATTCGATTTGTCATTTCTGGCTGGAGTAAATCGAGGAACCAGTGTACAGTTAATGCAGGAATACAGTTAGTAAACAATTAATTGACTCGAGAAAGAAAAACAACAGGTTTAATCAAATAATAGTAAGTCTGGATTTAAAAAGGCGGCAGGAAGAAATCAGACTAGCATAATGTTCGGCAGGCCTTTAACGACGATCTTGATCTCGATCTGAACGCCGAAGAACTGGACGAACTGTATCACGATATCTACGAAAGGCTACCGAGAGCTTCGAAAGACGAAGCTTGGAAGGTTTTCTTAGAAACGGCATCAAAGTGCTGCCAAAATGTCGACAAGTGTCTTAAGGAAACGATGCACGTGCCTTGCCTAGGAAGTCAGACGTCTTAACGTGTTGACTCATCACGATGCGGTCATCCGTAACTGGCGCCTTTCTTTTCAATGGCGCTCTCATAATTGCTGGTGACTGACGCAAATTTTTTTCTAACAAATGTAAAAAATAAATATCATTTAATACAAAATGTTGAATGACATAAGTAACTTAAAGATAACAATATAAAGTAAAAAAAATGCGCAATTCATCATGTTACTTTATACGTAGAGATATGATCTTATTTAATCATGTTACATAAAATTTTATTGTTATATCCTCGTGAAAATCCTACTGTGTGGCGTATACAATAAGAAACATTCACGCTGAGTACATAACATATTAAGGATTAAGATTTTTCCAAATATTAATCTCTTGAAAAAGTGAATGTAAAAATTATAAATATAATAAAAAATTTATTATCTTTTAAAACTTATTATATTACTTCTTAATCAATTTCTCGTTTTTTGTATCAAAGGTGCTTGATGAAATAAATGAAACAGTTGGTCAATGGTATAAATGTTTATTGATCGCTATTATTAATGCAGACGCATTACACAAGTGAAAATTTTGAATGAAAAACAAACGCTATTTAATATGTGAAAACGTCTGTCTACAACTACCTCTTGCGTATCTCTGTTCGAGAGCGTCCTTTATTAAAAACTACTATTCCGCATTTAAATCCCGCATTTCCGTTCATCGGCGGATTAGTAAAGTACGCGTTCGTCGATGTATTTCAAAGAGATAAACTCTTAAGGTAAATCTTAAATCTACAAAATTTTTTTTAATAACTAATGAGATCAAGTTGTTATAATAAAACTAGGATCACTGACAAAATCCGAGTCGGGTATGTTTCTCGAGTCTGAAAAAACGTTTATATCGAAATCACTTAAGTCTTTCATTCTTTTTCTTTTTTCTTTTTTTTTACGAGATCGCGCGACCCGATAGTTCGGATTGCATTCAAGTTCATCACAATTGCATGCCATCGAAATTCACTTCTACTTTAAGGAGTTGCTGGAGTCGTCTGTTGTACCGATAGAAATATCGATCTTGTCTCTTACTAACTATTTCGTATTAATAGCATAGAATAAAAATTCCTTTTCCACGATTACAAAACATGCTAATGTATCTGGCCCTGATGTATTTTGTATAAAGCAGGAAAAAATGAAGAAATTACAAATTTCCATTTTTACCTCAACATGGCAACTAATGCTGATGTCAATTTACGAAAACGTTTACTTCGTACTTTACTGGAAAAGTTATGCAAGTTATATGCTCAAAATAAAGACAGATGTACAATAAAGAAATGATATATGTAAATCGTTAGAGTTAAGTTTAGAGGTCTAAACAAAAATATTTTGTTATTTAACAAATTGAGCGTATATGTGAGATACTGATATGTGATAGTAAATATAAACACATCACTTCTATATCAATATCGCACGCATACATATGTACAAATCATTGCTAAAACAGCGACATTACGGAATTCGACCGTCGTGCCAGCATCCCCTTAATATAGTTGCTTGATACTGAAGGAAACAGCACCTGCTTCTGTCAATATCGCTGCCGAGCAATCGATGCTCCCCTCAATCGCGAATTTTTCCAGGTTTGATGGATGACAATGTTTCGCCACGTCGTCGCTACTTCGATATAAACTATTAACACTAATGCGCGTGATGAGGCTGAATTTTCTATAAATAACATCTTCTCCACGCAAATTGTTCCTGTTCTAATCGATTTATATATCCCCCTTTCTCTTTCCCCCTCGAATTCTCCGATTTCTTCTCTATCAGCGGTCGTTCTTTCACGCTCCATTCAAACTCCATCAATAACTTCAATGATGCGATCAATAGAAAGTGACGAGGATCGAATTCTTCGAACTCCGATTCTTCGTACGGTCGACAGTCGGTTGTACTGCTTTCAGTATCGCATCCTTGCATTAGGATATAGGGGGAAACGACGTGGGTTTGTCAGTCATCAATGATGTTATGAATTTGTTGTCTAGAGGCTTAAGGTTGCTGCGCGAAACCTGTAACGATAGACATGCGCTTACGTTACGATCGTACGATCTTCTTTAACGCGTTTGAAAGTAATCCCAAAATTATATTTTATAGAAACATACTTATACAAGGCATCTCATACATGCAATCGATGGCTGCAATTGAGGGCAAGTCCACCACAGTGACAAACAGCTGAATGTCATGCAAAATGATAATAAAAAAAAAGAAGCGAAAGGAAATATATACGCACGATAGCACCTATCTGCAATTATTTATAGATGCAAAGTATAAATTAGTTTTATGATTAAAATGTGTGCAATAAACAGTAGTAAAAGCAGCGCGCGTCGCTACAAACAAGGACACAATCATATCAAGCGTGTTTACAACTTGGAAGAGACTGCGTTTCAGATATATGCACAAATCTGAAATAACAGGAATTCGAAATAGATAAAGAAAATTCGATTTGAAGTGAAACTTTTTCCTTAAAATCTTTCCTGCATGCCGTCCTTCGATTTAAATTTAAGAAAATAAATAATAAAATATAAATCTTAAACAAAAGCATTCCAAAATATTTTAACTTGCAGCAAATTCAAGTTTGGCAAGCGTTAAATAATTATTACTCGAAAAATACCCATTGCGCGTTGCGGACGTTAAAAGCGTATTAGATTCTCAAGCAACAAACAAGGCATTAGGGTCGGACAATCAGATCGCGAAAGCGTTTGCAAACGGAAGCAAGTTTTAAATAAGCAAGTGTACTTGCTTGTTTACATAAATAACGGGCAAGCAATGACGACATGACATTTTCGTGAAAGCACCTTGCCAGCTCGGCGACACTTCAGACGCCGACGCCGGCATCTGCAGTGCCTGCCGCGGTGTCGCTTTTTCGCATCAGCCTTTCCCCTGCATTCACCATTAATATTGCGACCACTTTTCCCCCTGTGCCGTCCCCTTTTCAAATCATCGACCTTACGTTTTATCGCATCGCCGGCGTAGTCCGTCTCCGATTGCTGCTCCAGCGGATCTTTTGTCGTAGAATGAGGTAGAGTTTCTTTATTCGCTACGTATGACTCGTCTCTGAAAAAGATAAAGAGGAAACACATAAGTAAATAAATCGTGGGAAAGAAAAGTATGAGTGTGTATGTGTGTTATCTTAACGGAAATCCAATATTACATTAACTATTGAGCGATACGTTCAAATTTATCTCTCTGCAGTCTCCTGTTCAACTCGCAACTAGGATATATCGATTCCATTTCTTTTTAGACTCTCGCGAAATTATTACGATCGCAGATCGACGACCTTACAGCCGGGTTTACTGAACACGCCGAGGATTAGCAAGACACAAATATACATCTTGTCAACGTTAAAAATACGATAATGGACATCGTCGTCTGATACAGGAGGCAGAGGAACGCAAGTTTTCATATATAACAAAAAAATCTATAAACACTTGTGCAAACAGACTCGATTACGATTTTAGGTGAACAACAAAAAACAAGTCGCGCAACTCGATAAAAGATCCATGGAGCGACCGCGAAACAGCGAAGAGGGGGAGGGCGGAGGGAGAAGGAAAGAATGTTACGCACGATAGCGAATTGTCCTAGCACTTCGGACTAACCCTCCTGAGATCAGTTCGTACACAGCCATGAACTTTAGGTAGCAGAGATTATCACGGAGGCAATTGATAACGCGGCCTCGTGTCTCTCTCTGATTCCAGTTCACGTTTTCTCGAGAGTGCACATTGATCCCCCTCCCTTTAAAAACTCCTTGCAGATCATCTATTAATCAGCTGACAGCGCGATACAAATGATTCAGAGCATCAATATAAATAATTACATAATAAGCCATTGCAATGCGATACGATTGGCTATTTATGTACGCAATTGTATGTATTTATTCGTCTCGCGGTCAGAAATAAATCGGTTTATTAAAGAATATGTTATACAAGTGATATACATTTTGCAATCGCGGTACATGCACTCTCATAAATGTATCATTAAAGTCGTCTACACAAATCGACGCAAAGACATGTGTCTAATATAAATATATAAATGATCCGTAAAATCCTTAATGTACACTTGCTGCTTGGTATATAATAAAATATGTATTTTATCATTTGACATATTTACATTTTACTTTTACGTTCAGATTAGATCAATGTACAATGGCTTTAATGTGCCACCAGTGCGCACACAGTGCCTCTAATCGAAATCTTCGCTGTAAGATTCAATTACTGAGTAATGAAATCTTTAGTAGAACTTCTCAATGTCAACCGAGATATTTTTGTTTTTGTTTCCATTTGGGCGAAATGAGTCTGATTGTGTATGCCATGATTTTTCAAATATTTATACACGAGAGACAATGTCCATTGAGAATTTCAAATAATTTCTGTAATTTATTGGCGCATTTAAAAAATAAGATATTAAAATGAAAGTTATGAATGAAAATGCACACGATTTAAATTCTCACAGATTCTATTAATTATCTGATAAAATGTATAATTACAAAAATGAGAAAAGGAAGAAGATAAACGACGCAAAATATAAAAAATTAAATGATACATGCAAAATATACCAAATATACAAAATTATATAAACATAATGATTTTTAGTAACATGTACAAGAAAGAGGTAAAATTAGAGAGCTAAGGAAAAAGGGTTGAAGTACCGTTGCCTGTCCTCAAAAACATACAGGGGGAAAGAGAGAAAGAGAAAGAATGGGACGGGCGAAGAACAAGAACATAAAAGAACGCACTAACATCCACTCACATAACGTCGTCCCACGACGTCTCCTGCTGCTCCTTGGGTAGAGGCTTGCAGTATGCCTCAAGCTGCTCGATGGTGCACGCATGGTAGCAGCACTCCTCGACGAGTCCCGGGCCAGGCTCCCTCGGCTCATACTCCTCTGAGAACGGCTCGTTATAGCCGCGATCTTTGCACGTGGTGTACAGAGCGTCGGCCAATTTTTTCGAGCACAGTTTCTGCATCCGAATATGCGACTTCTTCAAGGTAGGTGCGGCATCGACAGCGTACAGGACACACAGGAAAACCAACGCGATCAGAAGCACCGCTTCATTTATCGCACGACCGCCACGTACCATTATCGTCTGGACGTAGAAAATTGTGGAAGAAGCGGCAGGCAATCTTCCTAGGGGAGTCTACCTCAAAGAGCGCACCTTAATGTCAACACCACATCCGCAATCGCATTCGTCGGATTGTCGTATATACTTATTTAATTGTTTCAATAAGTTTATATTATTCAGTTTTGCCGCGCCGACTCTACGATCGCACGAATGCAGAAACGAAGTCCTCTTCGGGTTTCGCGGTCCTTGCGGTCTCGAGACTTCCAGTCTTGAGAATCTTGAGAAGTTACTTCCCGACGCGAGTCTTCCCGTTTCTTCTCTCAACTTCTGCGATTCTTTCGTGCGGTCATAAGAAACCGCGAAATGATGCTGAGAAGTCTTGAAACGAGCTCCGCTAGTACCGAGTCCGTTGATATAACTGATACCGGACTGCCTCACCACGCGGTTTTCGTTCTAGATTTCAAGAACCCGGGGGAGAGAGGTATGTTAGGAGTGGGAAAACAGTGGAAGAGGTAGGAGTGAAGAAGGGCGAAGAGAAGGAGGAGGAGGAGGAGGAGGAGGAATAGAAGCTCGGTGATAGACGGACTCCCGCGGTCGCCGGTCGCCGGTGACATGTACGGCGCAGGGGGAGGGAAGGGGTCGTTAGCGGCTAGACGCGCGTCCGATCGGTCCGATGATACAGCACACACGAATTCGCTTTTTCGTGTGCCACGAGGGGGACCGATGTCTCATCGAAAAACCGGGGAAACGAGAGAGAGAGAGAGAGAGAGAGAGAGAGAAAGAGGGAGAAAGAGGGAGAGAGGGAGGCGAAGAGGCGATTCGCTGCTCCCGACTTCGGGAATCGGCGCGTCAGAAGCACGGGAATCGGCGCATGAGAAGTACGTATGTACGTATATTCCCGAAGTATAACATAATGTATTCTTTTGTCAGGACAAACTTCGCGCGCCCCTTTTGTGCCCGGTCGGCCGACCGGGCCCAACCCGCCGTCTGGCTCGCGAAGACAGACCCGTTCTAGTATTTCCGCCACTATTCATTTCGTCGCGCGCAGCATACAGGACACCGTCGCGCTTCATCCCCCGTTTCCACGTCATCCCGTAACAAAGCGATTCCTTTTTTTTTTTATCGAGCATACGGAGCACTGTCTCCTCGGACGGACTTCGCCCTCCCGCAGCGAAGTCTCGGTCTCTTCGCGCGCGGCGCGGCAGGATCGAGCGCTAGACAGCTACACGATACTGCATTATGCTATTGTACTCGCGGGTCTAACTAATGCTCCACGACTGTGTTCGATGTAGCGGCAAATTCAAGAGACCAGAATGTGAGTTCGCAAAAAAATTGCATATTAAACTGGTCATTCATTGAATGGTCAAATTCATTGGAGAAGAATGCCGTCCCGTTAAAAATAGATAATTATGCGTCTGCACAATGAAAGAGAAGACAAATATGAGATGTTTTTTTTTTTAGACGTCTAGCCGTAGTTATTATTAATACAGACACTAGCTTCTCAAGCAACGGAAATGTGCAACGACTGCGCTTTCTGCTCGGCGCAGTAGAAGAGTAAATAAAATTGCTATTGATCTGTGGCGAATTGCGTTTCAGGATCGAGTGACACGTAAATAGATCGCGTTTCGCGAACAATTGCAAAAACGTTACTATTAAATGTCGTTCAAGCTTCACTATCGATCACGTGCGCGGCACAAGACAACGCCGCCGCGTTTTGAACGAAAGTGGAATAGCTATCGTTTTACTGCATTCGGCATCAATGAAGACAACTTCGTCTATTATCTCTGAATGGCTTATCGGAGACCGACGGGGGAGCCGGATCAATAATGATCGATGATCGGCTCCCGGAGTATCGGGGAATCCGGCGCGCAAAAACACACGGAAGGATCACGCCAAGTGATCTATGATTCCGATCGAAGACAAAGTATGGCTCATATCGACGACTTTAATTGATCGGCCGCGCCTGTTTTGTCTCTCGGCCCGATATATCGGTCGCATTTTTCCCCAGATAGAGAGGTCGCTCCTCGCGCGACCCGCTACCCTCGTTTCTTTCCACCGATCTTAGCAATTTCGATATCTTTCGACGAATATGGACGTATCCCCCGCTGGATATATCTCTTCTATTCCAGTAGATCCAGTTGTAAACAGCATCACCTTAGCACTATCGAGTGTTTATTCTATATAATGCTATTTTTTTGCAGAATTTGCGCGAAAAGATCGATATACCCAGATAGCATGCGTGTCCGTAAAAAGTAGGGCATAAGATGTCTTTAAGACGTTCTAAGACATCTTATGACTTTTGGACAAGCGTGCCATTGTTAAATATAAAATCGAGTAGGTTGCGCGTCGTTCATCAAATAAAAAATAATCCCGCTAGGCCCGCGGAATTATTTTTTTACAGATAAACGGCATCTTGTATTTTTTTTTTAATAGTGGTGTCAAGAGAGAAGTGTCAAAATTTGATCGATCGACTTTGATAGATAAAACAATCTGTGACAACAAGTCAACGACTCCCATGCGTGGGTGCTCGATAGTCGGGAAAGGGAAGGAGGGGGCGGTGTCATTATGTTTACACGGCAATAATAATCCGATTAGTAATAACAGTAGTTATAGCTACTCACATCGTGTAAATGCTAGTTAAATCCAGTTTTATGACAGCTGGTGTTGAAATCATGTTATTTAACTATTTTATACGATATTTTACGTCATTAGTTAATAACTATGAATTTTACTAAACTTGCTTAACGGAAATGTAAAAAGTCATTACCGTAGTTATTATCATAGTCATTACCGCTAATATGAAAACTTTCAAGTAGAAAGAAAGCACACGACTCGTCTCGTCCGGCGGTCTATTTATAGACACGATCACAAGTGTCTGCCCATGCGGTGAAACCGCAGACGGGTAGTTTTACATTTGCGTCACGTAAGTATCAGTAACGTGCGTAATCGATGACAGTCTTTCTCGTCCCTTCTCACTCTCTCTTTCATTCTTTT